TCATTTCTGCATGCTGTTTTATTTATTTTCTATTTTTAAATGCAGTATTGACTAACTGATGGGGTGTGGCTATGCACCTCTTCTCTTTGATTTTTTTTTTTTAAACAAAAATTAGGTGTATGTGGAAAAGGAGCAAAGTGTGAAGGAGAGACTGGGGTCAGCTGATTGTCTTTATAAATTGCCTGAAAACGCTTCCCACTACTCCTGCCTCGTGCAGCTTTCCTTTAGCATTCCCACATTCTTAAGACAAGGTGTTTATAACTAAATGTAGCCCAAATAAAAAACAACTTTGGTTTGCAGATATTTAAGAAATGCCAGGGCAAGTACCAATATTCCTCGTTTAAGAAATCTTTATGTAGGGAGAAGTGAGAAAAACCTTAAGCGATGGACAGAAAGAGTTTCCATCCTGTATCTTGGTAGAAGAAGGCCAAATTAGACTCAGCTCAGAATCTGTCTTATCTTTTCTGACAAGATGTTCTATTTCCCCGAGAAAGCAAACAGCCGAACTCATTTCAGATAACCCTCTGCTCCACATAAAAGCACCTGGCAGCTGTTTGCACGTTAGTCTAAACTGACCTTCATAAATGTGGGCCCAGCTGGACTTATTGGTAGAAGGCCAGAAAATATGAAAAGCAAAAAAAAAAATAAAAAAAATTCCACCTCCATTTTTGCTGCCTGGAAACGACGTGGCAACAGAGTTTACAGAAGGGTGATTTTTTTTCCTTTTGATTTATGCCATCTCTTACAGCCCTACCACTACTATTTAAATATCTAGGGCAGGAAGTAAAACCAGGTGAGGTTCTCCAGGAAGCACTTACTTGTTGACCTATTAAACACAGCAGTGTGTTGGTTTACCTTCTGTAGCCGACATGTGGATGACTCTCACATTCAGTCCAAGAAACTGAACTTTGAACTTGAGGTGTTCATGTGTGAAACTTCAGGGTCACTTCTGTCTGAGTGGCCCAAGAAGAAATCAGAAATAACAAGTACTGGGTGTGAAGACTCATCCATGGAAGTGGGTGAGAGGGGGTGTTTATTGGTTTTGTTTTTAGTCCATTCCCTCCAGTCTCTTTACTTGTTCTTCAGAAAACACAAAGAGACTGTCTGAATCCCTTGTGAGTCATAATGGCCAATGGGGGTGGGGAGGAACTAATATTTGTAGAACATTGTGGAATTGACAAAACTTTAAAAAGCTATCATGCAATAAAATACACACACACACCACCACCACCACCTCGGTCCCGCCCCCAAAAAGAGTTGCAGTCTCAGAAACCCACCGGGGCATTTCTACTCTGTCCTACAGGGTCGCTATAGGCCAAAATCCACTCAATGGCAGTGAGGGTTTTGAGCTCTGGTGGTGCTGACGAGTAAGCATTAGATTGCTCACTGAAAGGTTGGTGGTTCAAACCTACCAGCAGCTCCTCTGATTGTCAAAAGCCTCGGAAACGGTGTATGATCTCTGTGAGTTGGGATCCACTTTATGGCAGTGGGGCTGGCTTTTGATTCTGGTGGAAATGCAACTTCGCCGCTGGAGTCCACAGGAAGGAGCCTCTC